AATAAAGTTTTTCTAACTAGGAGCTCCTGGTCTTATAATGTAAGTTAATAAGCCTTCCTCAACTTATAAATTCATTATGTTTAAAAATGTTTTCTAAGTCATTTGTGTGGGACTCAGATGCATTTTCCATGCAGAGTATTATAATTTGTAGTTGTAACCCCAGGTAAGATCACAAGTCTATTTACTTTATAATGTAATTGAACTATAGTATTAATCGGTAGAAGTCTAGATTAAAAGATATGAATACTGAATGCCAATTAAACTATTATATGGATGAAGAAAAGAGTCTCTTCAGAGAAGTTTCATTGTTTGGAATCTACTACATCTATCATGATACCTCTTTATACCTCTTTTGCTTTTAGAAATTGTTTTCCTAGCCATGTTCTCACCGGCTCCAACTATTTTCATCTTCCCATCTTCCATACCCACAAATATTTTTGTTGTAAATTACCACTCTTCTTCCCCAACTCAAAAGTTCTCATTTCCTCAGTGAAACTGATCTCCACTAGATATTAAGAGGAAAGCTTTGTTTTTTTATTTAAATTATTTATTTTTTTGAAAAGTAGGCAACATATGCACATAACAAAAAGTTGTACAAAAGGATATACAGTGAAAGCAAGTAGCAATTATGAACAAGGGATAGTATTGTATTTGAAAACTGTTGCCTGGCAAACCAAATGGATTTCTGATACAACTATATGAAATATAAAGAACTTAAAAGTAAAAGAATGCAGTGAAAGAGGAAGTGTCTCTGGACAAAAGTGATTATACCATGTAAGCAAGCTAAACCTGCCTGCTGAATTCCTTCCTGAACCGCTCTACTTAAACTGTTCCAGCTTTTTATAGTTTGCTTCCATTTCTTTCTTCTTCTGAACCTATCAATTTGCCTAGAACTTGAATTTTTTTTTAATAGTTTTAATGGAAGTGTGCTTTCAGATACCAAGGGAAGAACCTTGGTTATGGATCACTTAGCAATTTCTATTTATTTTATTTTTTAATTTCAGTATTTGTTTCAAAGATCCCCATTACATATGTATATTGATAATTCTGTGATTTGGTATTAGAATTAATGAATTTAAATATAATCAGATTTTCTTAAATATATAAAAATACATTTTAATTTTTTTCATTTTTTGAATAATATTATTGAGACCTGTCAAGGAGTTAATTTTAGCAATGGGTTCTTTTCCTACTGTTCTGAATTTTTTTTATTATTTTGTTTTTTAATTTTTTAATATTTATTTTTCAGTTTTTGGTGGACACAACATCCTTGTTTGTATGTGGTGCTGAGGATCGAACCCGGGCCACACGCATGCCAGGCGAGTGCGCTACCGTTTGAGCCACATCCCCAGCCCTTTATTATTATTTTTAAAAACCTCTCTAAAGGCTTGATTTGAAGGGGAGGTACTGGGGATTGAACTCAGGGGCACTCAACCACTAAACCACATCCCCAACCTTTTTTTTTTTTTTTTGTATTTTATTTAGAAATAGGGTCCAACCGAATTGCTTTGCACCTTAGGCTTTGAATTTGTGATCCTCCTACCTTAGCCTCCCGAGCCTCTGGGATTACAGGCATGTACCACCATGCCCAGCCAAGACCTGAATTTTTTTAAAAAATCTGAAATTAAACTAAATTTATGAGATAGTTTTAAATGATTATAACATTTTGTGTTTTGTTTTTGCAGTATTCCTATTCATATTTTTTTCCTCTGCAAAATATCATGTAAGCAAGAAAGATGGAAAAAAAAAGAAGCAAGGTACCTATTTCTAGATGTTCATGAGGCTTCAGTGTCTTTGAGTCATTATTTGGTCCTCAGTGTACATATTTAGAAACTGAGGCATAAAGGATTAACCAGTGCTAATCAATCTCAGGAGAAACCCATGTATAATAGGAATGCCATTTTATTATGAGAACTTCTTTGGTACAACATTCGATAACCATTATCTTCCTCTCAGAGTCAGTCTATTCAGATAAAAAGAGGTCCTTTAAGGATGTTCCATAATATTAGATGAAAATTAAGGAAGTAAGATGTTTTATTTATTTATTTTTTTTTTACCACTGAGCCACATCCCCGCCCAAAGCAAATTTTATTTTAATTACCGTTATGGCTAAGTTTAAAGCCACCATTTTTCTATTTGATTTCCATTTGGTATTTGGTTTGTTTTTCCTCTCTCCTTAACAACATTTTCATTAATTTCATTTTTAATTACTCCTTTTTTTAAAATTTTTATTGTTGGTTGTTCAAAACATTACATAGTTCTTGACATATCATATTTCACACTTTGATTCAAGTAGGTTATGAACTCCCATTTTTACCCCATATACAGATTGCAGAATCACATCGGTTACACATCCACTGATTTACATATTGCCATACTAGTGTCTGTTGTATTCTGCTGCCTTTCCTATCCTCTACTATCCCCCCTCCCCTTCCCTCCCCTCCCGTCTTCTCTCTCTACCCCATCTACTGTAATTCATTTCTCCCCCTTGTTTTTTTTTTTCCCCTCACTTCCTCTTGTATGTAATTTTGTATAACCATGAGGGTCTCCTTCCATTTCCATGCAATTTTCCTTCTCTCTCCCTTTCCCTCCCACCTCTCATCCCTGTTTAATGTTAATCTTCTTCTCATGCTCTTCCTCCCTACTCTGTTCTTAGTTACTCTCCTTATATCAAAGAAGACATTTGGCATTTGTTTTTTAGGGATTGGCTAGCTTCACTTAGCATAATCTGCTCTAATGCCATCCATTTCCCTGCAAATTCCATGATTTTGACATTTTTTAATGCAGAGTAATACTCCATGGTGTATAAATGCCACATTTTTTTTATCCATTCGTCTATTGAAGGGCTTCTAGGTTGGTTCCACAGTCTTGCTATTGTGAATTGTGCTGCTATGAACATTGATGTAGCAGTGTCCCTGTAGTATGCTCTTTTTAGGTCTTTAAGGAATAGACCGAGAAGGGGAATAACTGGGTCAAATGGTGGTTCCATTCCCAGCTTTCCAAGAAATCTCCATACTGCTTTCCAAATTGGCCACACCAGTTTGCAGTCCCACCAGCAATGTACAAGTGTACCCTTTTCCCCACATCCTCGCCAGCACTTGTTGTTGTTTGACTTCATAATGGCTGCCAATCTTACTGGAGTGAGATGGTATCTTAGGGTGGTTTTGATTTGCATTTCTCTGACTGCTAGAGATGGTGAGCATTTTTTCATGTACTTGTTGATTGATTGTATGTCCTCCTCTGAGAAGTGTCTGTTCAGGTCCTTGGCCCATTTGTTGATTGGGTTATTTGTTTTCTTATTGTCTAATTTTTTGAGTTCTTTGTATACTCTGGATATTAGGGCTCTATCTGAAGTGTGAGGAGTAAAGATTTGTTCCCAAGGTAAGATGTTTTAAAGAATAATGTTATTTAGATGGGTTACTCTATATATGTTCCTTTCTCTACAAGAGGTTTTTTGTTTGTTTGTTTGTTTGTTTTTTGCCTAAATATCTGATATCTCCCATAAAAGATACCATTAGTCAATTGACTAATAATGTGGGGGAAATTGGATCTGGACTCTCACCTCATACTACACATAAAAATCAATTCTGGATGCATTGTAGGTATGAATATGAAAGGTACAAAGAGTAAAAATTTTAGAGGAAAATGTAAGACAGCTTTTCATGAGAAAATTGATTAATTGCACTATTTTAAAACTTCTTTTCATAAAAAGAAACTCACTGGTAATTTTAAAATTACTCTTCACCTCATTCTAGTAATGTGGCCCTTTATTGCCAGACTACAAAATTTCAACATGACTTCACTCCCTGGACTGTTGATTTTATCCAGGGGTGGGCATCTGGCCTATATCCACTCACAAAACCCAGTCAATTAGTTATTCTGCAGGCTTTATAGAGTTGGAAGAAGGAAGAGTGTGACTGTTTCTCAGATAATGATCTTCAAGCAAAGCTGTTAGTGGGAGCCATGTTCTTCACCACATAGAAGAAACAGGTTTGCAGGAGTGTGTCAGAAAGAAGCCATAACCGGAGACGAGAGAAGTGAGAGAGTTCCATTTGTCTTCTCACTTCTTCTAGTTATCCTGAAGCCTTGGTGAATCTTATTATTTGGGAAATACACTAGTATTCCTCCCATAAATCCCTTTTTTGCCTTAAAGTTAAATAGGTCTATATTGAGTCTTTTACTGCCAAAAGAAGTTTAATACATTAGATTACTTCAGGGTTTCTCAACCTAAACACTATTGACATTTGGGTTGGGTAATTCTTTGTGGTAGAGGCTGTCCTATGCATTATGGGATGTGCACCAGCATCCCTCTCATCAGTCATAATTAAAGTGTCTCTAGACATTGCCAGATATTCCCTAGAGAGCCACATAATCCCCTGTTGAAGATCATTGGGTTACTTAAATTCTTGAGTTCTATTCAACTTGTGATTTTCAGCATTTTCCCAAACATATTTAATGACTGTTCAAATCCCGTCTCCCCACCCCTTTTCACAGAATTTTGAGTAGTCCGTAGAATTCAAAGTGTGGGGAAAAGTGGATTATTTAAACTATTACTTGATACTATCAACAAAACATGTATAAATGTCTCTTAGGCTTGGATACTTCTGATGCTTGTTTTTTTCCTAGGTCTTTGATACATACAGTACAGGAAAGATAGGTCTTAGTTTATGATCTCCAGATTAGTAATGATCAAATTTTGAGAAACAAATTAAATGATGCTTTATACTTTTATTCAACAAATATATATTGTATATTGATACCAAATATTGTGCCAGGTACTAGGGCTACACAGATTAATAAAATCTGTTTTGTTCCTTGAGGAGCTTATTTTCTAGAATGGAAAGTATACACATAAATAAATTATTAGAATAACATGTGGTGTTATGATGGCCAGCATGACTTTTAGACATACCTAGCTAGTTCTTCAATAAAACCAGATTTTCGAATTATAATTTAGAAAGTTAGGGTGCTTTTTTTAAATATTTATTCTTAAATTTTAGGTGGACACAATATCTTTAATTTACATTTATGTGGTGCTGAGGATCGAACCCAGTGCCTCGTGCATGCTAGGTAAGCATTCTACCACTAAGCCACACCCTAGCCCAGTTAGGGTGCTTCTAAAATACATTCTTAGTCAATCAGAATAGAATCATCTATTTTCTGATGGGAGAACTCAGTAAATGGTTATGATGAAAGTAAAGAAAAATGACATCAAAATAAGTTTCTAAATAAATTTATTTTTGAAGGCTAATAATTATTCATAGTAACTTCTGTATAAGAGTATTGTCTTACAATAAAATTAAAATTATTTGAAGAATTCCAATTATTGCACAGTGGTTGCACAGTGGTGATTTTCAAACTCCATCATTCCTACATTTATTAGTTGGCCTTTCGCTAATTGGCCTTAGATTCATGGGTTCATAGTGATACAGGTTTTTTGTTGTTGTTGTTACTTTTCCCCTTTTCATATTTCTATCTATTCTCAAACAAATCTGTCTTCTAAGAACAGCAAAATATTTGCACATTTGCTTAACCCTACAACACACAAAATAGTTCCAGAACTCCTATATTTGTGGCACTGCCAAAACCAAACTTTCTAAGCATTCAACATTTATTTGTGGGCTTTTTAAAATTTTATTTTTTAGTTGTACTTGGACACAATACCTTTATTTTATTTATTTATCTTTGTGTGGTGCTAAGGATCAAACCCAGGGCTTCACACATACAAGGTGAGTGCTCTACTGCTGATCCACAACCCCAACCCCTGTTTGTGGGCTTTTTTGACTTTAGATTAGCGATATATAGTCAAATCACTTCATTCAAAAATTGCTTGCAAGGCTGGGGATGTGGCTCTGTATTAACTTGGAGAAATTTAAATGTAAGAAGTCTCCCAAAAGGAAAACACAGTTGTGTATTCTAGATTTTTTATTATTTTTTTTTTAGAAACAAGCAGTTAGTGGCATGTCAATACAGCCCATTTGTAAACAAACACCTACACATTAATATTTTATGTGAACTTCTATAGTCTTTATGTTTTGCAGGGAAAATATATAATTCACTGCCATTGGTTTGTCTTTTCCTTGCCAATTTGCTGCTGTTGCTGGCACTGCTGTGAAAACATAATAATGATGACTATCCTTCTGTAAGGTTTATTTTCATTAAACTTTTTATTTTCAGATAATTATAGATTCACAAGCCATTGTGAGAAGTAAAACAGAGATAATGTGTTTCCTTTTCCCAGTTTCCTGACATAACATCTTACAAAACTCTAGTACATTATCACAATCAGGAAATTGGCATTGACATGATACACTAGTCTTGCTCAGATTGCCTCAATTTTACATAAACTCATTTGTGTGTGTATTTAGTTCTGTACAGTTTTATAACATGTCGGTTATTGTATCCACCATCACAATCAAGATACAGAACAGTTCTAGTACCATACGAATCCCTCCTGTTTTTCAGGACTTACTTTTAATCGCTGGTTTATTCACTTGTAAGCAGAAGAATATCTTTTTTAGGTGTATTTTTTTTTTTTTTTTGTATTTGTGCTAATCCAAATAAAACCTTTAAAATAGTAAGGAGTTATGCCAGTACTGATTTTTGGTTAGTGTTGCTTCTTTGAGGGAGGGTCCTAGGGATTGAACTTGGACACTCCCCCACTGAGCCACATCCCCAGCCCTATTTTGTATTTTATTTAGGAGACAGGGTCTCACTGAGTTGCTTAGTGCCTTGCTTTTTACTGAGGCTAGCTCTGAACTTTCAATCCTCCTGCCTCAGCCTCCCAAGCCTCTGGGATTACAAGTGTTACCTATTTTTTATGTAGTCAGCTTAATTGTGACAAGTAATCACTGGTCAGTATTCTGAGTTTCTCTTCACTGAATTTTAAGTATTTAATCATTCAACAGGAATATTGACTTATAGATCACTTTCTGCATAAAATGAGGGTCTTAAGGAATAAGTTAGTTGAGAATGTTATCAAAACTTAGGATAAAAACATAGTTATGCCTGAATTCTTAGGTAAGCAAAGGCTAAGAGGAAACCAATGTTTAAAAGAGACTTGTTTTCAACTGTTTAAAATTTTGACATGGAGGACTTAAAGGCCTAAGATCAGAAACAAGGGCTGGGGTTGTAGCTCAGTGGTAGAGCGCTCATCTAGCACATGCGAGGCCCTGGGTTCGATCCTCAGCACCACATAAAAATAAATAAAATAAAGGTATTGTGTCCAACTACACCTAAAAAAATAAGTTTAATAAAAAAGGATCAGAAACAAGACAAGGACACCTACTTTGGACACTGGTATTCAATATCATACTGGAAATTCTAGCCAGAGCAATTAGATAGGTAGGAGTGAGGAATAAAGGGGGGAAGTAAAGAAAGGAGGAAGGAAGGGCATATAAATTGGGAAGGAATAATTAAAATTATTTCTCTTTGCAAATGACATGATCCGATACGTAGGAAAGCATGAAGAATGCACAAGAAGATACTTACCAGCTAACAAACTATATCAGCAAAATTTCAGGATAAAAGAACAATACAGAAAAATTTCTACACACTGTAATGAACAATTTGAAAAGGAAATTAGGAAGCACTTCCATTTACAGTATCATCTGAAAGGAAAAAAATATCTAGGTAAAAAACTTGTACACTGAAAATTATAGATAATATGGATAGATATATGTGGATGCTGATCCATAATAGATAATTATAGATTCACAAGCCATTATAAGAAGTAAAACAGAGATCATGTGTTTCTGTTTCCCAGTTTCCTGTCATACATCTTACAAAACTCTTAATACATTATCACAACCAGGAAATTGGCGTTGATATGATACACTAATCTTACTCAGTTTTCCTCAGTTTTTATGGATCAGCATCCACAAATCAGAGAAAGCTTTTGGGTTTTGGGGATTGGTTTATTTTACTTAGCATGATATCCTCTATCTCCATCCATTTTCCTACAAATGCCATAATTTCATTCTTCTTTAAGGCTGAGTAATATTCCATTGTGTATGTATACCACATTTTCTTTATATAAAATGACCAATAAGCACATGAAAAGATGTTGTACATCATTAATCATTAAAATAATGCAAATTGAAACCACAGTGAGATGCCACTTTATACATACTCTGATGGCTGTTTACACAAACAAACAATGGAAAATAATAAATGTGGCAAGGGTGTGGAGAAATTAGAAAATAGTCTCACAGATCCTCAAAAAATTAAATAGGTTGGATGTGGTGGCACATGCCTATTATCCCAGTGGTTCAGGAAGCTGAGGCAGGAGGAGCACAAGGTCAATGCCAGCCCCAACAACTTATGCCGTAAGCAACTTACTGAGACTCTGTCTCAAAATTTAAAAAGTGAAAATAAAAAGGCTGCGGATGTAGCTCAGTGGTTAAGCACCTCTGGATTCAATCCCCAGTACCAAAATCAGTTTTAATTCTTTCGTATATGCCTCATCCACCAAAACAGAAAACTATGATTCAGACAGATATTTGTTCATTTAGGCATTTTTCACAGTACCCAATAGGTAAAAACAATCCAAATGTTTATCACTGGATGAATGAATAGACAAAATATGATATGTACATGCAATGAAATATTGTTCATCATTAAAAGGATTGAACTCCTGAAACATGCTACAACATGGGTGAATTTTGCAAATGTGCAGAGACATAAGGACAAATTTTGTAAGTTTCCAATTATATGTAATATTTAGACAAATTCAGAGACAAGAAGTATACTATAAATTAAGAGAGGCTGGTTGGGATGGGCAAAGGGAGTTACTGCTTAATGGTTACAGAGTTTTTTTAAGTGAGTGCTTTGAACTCAGAAAGCACTAAAAAAAAGAATGTTAGCTCCAAATGCATCTTAGGAATTTTAAAAAGGAGAATAACTGTTTTATTTTGGACCTGGAATGTCCCTAAAAGCTCATGTGGTTTTTACCAATATAGTCTCCAATGCCTCAAGGTTCAGAGGAGAGCAATGATTGGATGGATCATGAGAGCTTTCACACTGATTAATCCATTGATAGCTCAGTGGACTACTGGGGGGTGGGACGTAGTTGGAGGAAGTAGGTCACTGGGGTCATGCCCTGAAAGGGTTTGTCTGCCACCCCTTCTTCTCTCTGCTTTCCCTGACTGCCCTGAGCTGAGTTGCTTTCTTCTTCCACACCTTTCCACCATGATGTTCTGCCTCTCCTCAAGCCGAGACTAGTTGAGCTGGCTGACCAGAAACAGAATACTTTGAAGCTGTGAGCCAAAACAAACTTTTCCTCCTTTAAGTTGTTCTTGTCAGGTGTTTGGTCATGGTGACACAAAGCTAACACAATGATGAAACAATTTAAAGCTTAGAATGGGAAATAATTGAAAATGGTCAAGATAGGGAAAACATAGAACTGAAATAGAATGGTAGTTTTAAAAATCAAGTTATAGGCTGGCATTGTGGCTTATGCTTGTAACCCAACTTCTTGGGAAGCTGAGGAGGAAGGATCGGAAGTTAAAGGCTAGCCCTGGGCAACTTAGTGAGATCCTGTCTTCCAGAAATTTTAAAAGGGATAGGGCTCAAAAGTAGAGTGCTTGCCTAAGTATGAATGAAGGCCTGAGTTCCATTCACAGTACCACCAAAAAAGAAAGAAAAAGTCAAGTTACACATGACTTGAGAATTTCTTCAGAAATTTAATAAAGAACTAAAAGCATAAGTAATGGTTACATCCAGTGCCTCTCATGGCTTTTATTTGGCGAAGAATCTAATTTCAGTGCACTTAATAATAAGAACTTTCTCTGAAGAAAATTACAGAATTCTGGATTTTAATTTTTGACATATGGCTTTCTCAGGAGAAAAGAAGATATTCACAGTTGACATACCATAAGAATCTACCCTGAGCTAAGGCAATCTGACAAATATGTCAAGTCTTTAAACAACTTTTTAGTGTACCAAACCAAGTGGATCATAAGTTTCTTTTCTTTCTTTCTTTTTTTTTTTTTTTAGCCAGGGATTGAACCCTAGGAGCACTTTTACACTGAGCCACATCCCTGGCCCCTTTTTATATTTTATTTAGCGACAGGGTCTCATTGAATTAGGGTCTCGCTAAGTTGCTGAGGCTGGCTTTGAACTTGCAATTCTCTTGCCTCAGCCTCCCCAGGAGGATTATAGGCATGTAATATTGGGATTACACACATGTGCCACCATATGTGACCATAATTTCTTTTTAAAATATCATAAGGACTAATCCAGACTATTTTGAATTACGAGATGCTAAAAATGAATACTTTGGGATCTTTATTGATGAACAAAGAAGAGGTTAATTCAAGGAGGACCAGTAGTTCTGTTTTCTCAAGTTATGTTATAATTGTTTGTTAAAATATAAGGTGTCATAAAGCTGGCAGCAGTCACTAACTATCTGGACGATGCACTCCTATCAATATCTGAACAGTTTAAAGTATCATTTTAAGATGAATAATTTGATCCAGTTCAGCCAGAGGCAAACCTATTTAAGAATGGAATAGTATTCTGCAAGAATGACACTCCCTGATGAGACTATTATTCTCCAACTTGAAAGGGAGAGCAACAGTAACTTTGAAATGTTATACTACAATAAATAGGTTCTGTAGGCAGTTGAAAAAAAGTAAAAGATTGTTAGTTTTCAAAAATAAATAAATGTTTGAAGATCATTGAGATGATACTGAAGAGTGACTCTTAAGCAAACAGTAATGCTGTCACAGTACAGTGAAGTAGAATTGAACCATGCTTTGAAAGTATTAAAAAAAATTATCAGTAAGCAGTGAATACCTGGTTATCACAAGTGGTAATAACTATGCTTATAAGAACACCATTTTGTCTAGGGTGAAGAAGTAGTCACCATTACTTCTCCCCCAAATATGCTCAGCAAGCAGTTTATCTCCAAAGTTTATGAAGGCTTTTCTACTTAGAAGATGGGGAAAAGAACATACATACTGCATTTCTCAGATTTAACAGATGAATGACAGTTATAAAACCATTCCAGGAATTTGGTTGCCATTGATGTAGAAAGAGTTGACTTCCTCTAGGAAGAAGCAAAGGGAATAAGAGGAGAAGAAAGGAAATTAAAATAAGAGATCTACTAGGCCACTTGATCCTGCAGTGGAAAAACTTGTCCCTGTAAAAGCAGTTTAGACATGTCAAGTATGTCTTGAAAAGAACTCCCCTAGATCATTGAAACTCAGTCCATGCAGTTCAAGATTGTCAAAACAGTTTGCTTAGCCTGGCTCCTCAGTGATTGTCTTAATTTGGTATAGTGTTAGGAGATCCTTTTGGGGATGCTACATTGCACAAGTCCAGCAGGATCCAACTCTTCCCACACAGTTCCCTAAAGGTCAACAAGGAGTACCACCTGTTAAGATATGGTGTGTGTGGAAGGACTGTGTGGAAGAGTTTTGCCGCTCCAGGAAAGGAATTCCAGGAAAGGAATATGAGATACAAGGATTCCTTCCTGTAGCAAAGTAGCTTACTTTCCTCTGCTTTGCACTCCAGGGCACGTAGTAGGTTTTGACATCCTATAGGAGAACCTGGAGGTATCCAGTCTGAGTGGGAGTCATATAATTCCACTTGCTCCTTGGAAAAGGCAGGAATCCCATTGTGATCCTTCTCTCAAACTATGCTTCCAGTATTAAGCAATTGGATCCTCAGACTAATTATTTTTAATTGAAATCCATAGATTTTTTTCCATACATTTTTTAAAGGTAAAAAAAATCACACATAATTCTACTCCCTCTCATAATCTTCTGCTTCTGCAATGTTGTCTTATCTCTATTCCTTATTTGAATATATAGATATATGAACGTACCCAATGTGTATGAAAATTTTAACCTATACTGTTTGTCTTGAATAACAAAAATTTTAATGGAAAACACTGATGTAATCTTGATAAGTATTTAAATAAAGTTCTCGGTTTCTCATAAAAGCAGTAGTATGATTTGTGCTCTGTGAAACAGGAGTCACTAGCCAAATGGCTAATGAGTTCTTTAAATATGGCAAGTCTCAAATGAGATATACTATGAATATAAAATAGACAAAAAATATAAAATGTCTATTTTTTATATTGAACACATGTTGAAGTAATATACGATGTATTGAATTACAGAAAATACTAAAATTAAGTTCACCTATTTTTAATTCCTTTTAATGTGGCTACTAAAATTCTGAATTACATATATGGCTTGCATTGTATTTCTATTATACTATGTTGATATAGACTATCATATACAGCTCTGGGATTTTAAAATTGGAAAAGATTCTAAAATTGCCATGATAAGGGAATGGCTGAATCATCTTTAGTGTGTTTACTAGATAGACTATTATATAGCCTTTAAAATTACAGACATTTGGACTATGTGGAAGAAAAAATATGTGTGATGTTCTATCAAAGCACAATTTATGCCAGGCATGCCATAATTCCAGCGGCTCAGGAGGTTGAGGCAGGAGGATTGCAAGTTCAAAGCAAGCCTCAGCAAAAGCGAGATGCTAAGCAACTCAGTGAGACCCTGTCTCTAAATAAAATACAAAATAGGGCTGGGGATGTGGCTTAGTGGTTGAGTGCCCCTGAGTTCAACCCCCATGATAAGGGAATGGCACCCAGAAAAAGAAAAAGAAAGAAGGAAAGCACAATTTTAACTTACAAAAAAAATTTTTTAATCTAGGAGAATTTTTCCAAAATACTAACTAGAAATATGTTCAGAAGGTAGGATTATAGGAGGATTTTTTTATTTTTTCCTTTATTCAAATTTAAAAATTGCCTTCATATATTTTTCACACTGAAAGATATAAGCTATAAAATCTAATTTGTTATAAGTCACTGGATAACACTGCTTCATAAACTCAGATCAAGGTAAATAAGTGAACCCAATGTGTTAGTGTTCACAAGTTATTATGGGAAAAGGAACAAGCTTATGTCTTCTCTTCCATGGTTCAATGAGAAGAGAGTGAAACTCCAAAGGGATAGTTGATAATATATATTGTGTTTGTAAAAGAATGAAGAATGGAAGAGGAACATTTACTTCTTTTACCACTTTGAAAGCTATAAAGAACGAATTAGAAAACTGAATCTTAAGTTTCTTTAAATAGAATTAAAGCTCTGAAAATAATGTACTACATTTAAATACTTACTCTTGCTAAATATTTTTTTTTCACTCATAGATTCATGGTGTTGCTATCTAAAGTTGAGACATCATCAGAAGAAATCATGGAAATAATGAAAAATTTAAATAATATAAAGGTTTGCCCTTTTTTTTTTTTTTTTGCATAGAATTTTTCATACTTCTACTACCCCATTTGAAAAAGATAATAGGAAAGAATCCCCAGACTACAGAATCCCTTCCAGTAAAGAATTTGCAAAGGATATGTTTAATTTGCTTTTCACGGGAACTTCTCTGCTTATTTAAAATGACTTAACTATAATATTTTAGTAATTACTTGCTTTCTCACATTTAATAGCAAATTTACAGATTGTTTAATCTTAATGTAGTTTTTGTTCATATATTATAAGGCTTACAATAGTTGAACAACTATAAAATGTTAAATATCCTCACATAGAGTTTAAATTTTTCTAATGAAGGAAACTATATTATATTTTCCATGTCACTTACTATAGAAAATTCACTTATAGAGAATTTTTTTTTAACTCATTTAGAATAACTTGCTTTTAGGCTTTAGAGGGCAATAGAGAGCTTGAAAATCTCATTAGTATCTCCCGTTCATCATGTTTCTTAAAAAGAGAAGTGGAGAAAACCAAAGAACTAGGTAAGAAAAAAAAATTTTTTTTAATTTATTTTTTTTTAAAAATAAATGACAGCGGAATGCGTTACAATTCTTATTACACGTACACAACAGTTTTTCATATCTCTGGTTGTACATAAAGTATGTTGACACCAAAGGTAAGAAAAATTTATGAGTTTTCAGTAATAATTTCAGTAATAAGATAAATCTCTTAATTTTTCTCAAATTTAAATTTGATAGACTTCTTTATATATGCACCACTATGGCCATGTGAAATACTATTTTTCTTTTATTTTGGGGACTACTCTTTAATGTTAAGGAAAAGATTGTTACCTTGGAAATTGCAAGTAGACTTCTTTTATGTGGAGCTGATTTTTAAAAGGAGATATTTAATAAGGCATTGCATTTTGTACTTGATACCTATAGATAGGTATTGTTTTGAAATCTTTTTTCTCATGAAATTTTTTCTTCCAAGTAATGAGAAATTCTTCACATTCCATTTTAATTATTTTGCAGGGGTTGGGGGTGCCGGGTACTGGGAATTGAACTCAAGGCACTTGAAGGCTGAGCCACATCCCCAGCCCTGTTTTGTATTTTGTTTAGAGAGGGTCTCACTGAATTGCTTAGCTCCTCGACATTGCTGAGGCTGGCATTGAACTTGCAAACCTTCTGCCTCAGCCTCCTTAGCCGCTGGGATTATAGGCATCCATTTTAATTCTTAACATGATGTGTTTTTTTTTTCTTTTAGTGACCAAACTAAGAAAACAAAAGCTGTGTGAAAAGAATTCAGTACTTCCTCACAAAGGTAAAGGGCTGTGTTTTATTGCATAAAGAGATGGTTTTATTTTATTGCATAAAGAGATGCTTTCATCTCATTTCATCAAATAAAACCAATCATTGTGAGTCCCTTTTAGTGTATTCTTAAGACTACGAATCTCATCTGAAAAACCTTATATTTCAGTTAGCAGAAGACCAAGTCCAATAAGATCATCTTCCCTGATGATTCAATTTTTAAATATTCTGAAATAACAGTTTTAAATTTTGTCCTTTTATTAAAATTTCTTTTTCAGAACCCAGACAATTGGGACAACAATGCATTAATTAGCCCATTTCATCCCATCATCCCAGATGTGAAGCACCTATAAAAACTTTAAATGAGCAACAAATATACCACTTATGGTAACTTTGAAATAATATTTAAATATCTATTATGTTTGCAGAATTGACAACTTAGGACTTAATGAGTTAACATACCAGTGTTTTTAATGGTGAATTAGAAAGACATATAAACATTAAAAGTTACTTTTTAAGCAGTGTCCTGGAAACTTTTAAATCATTAATGACATTGTGACATTTGAACTATTATGCCTCTGAGCATTTCACAGTATGGGAAACTCAATTAGAAGTTTGTTTTTGTTTGTTTGTTTGTTCTTTTTAGCTATACGTGACAGTAGAATGTATTTTGACATACGTACCTGGAATACTTCTTCTCATTTTTGTGGTTGTACATGATGTACAATATATGACACTGGTCATATATTCATATAAGAATATAGGAAAATCACGTCTGACTCATTCAGCTGTCTTTGCTATTCCTGTCCCCTCATCTTCATCTTCATTCCCCATTGTCTAATTTGGTAATCTGGTGAAGCATCCCCCTTCTAAACCCACCCCCACTCCACCCCTGTTTATTGTGAGTTAACATCTACATATCAGAGAACATTCAGCCTTTGGTGTTTGGGATTGGCTTATTTACTTAGCATGATAGTCTCAGGTTCTGTCCATTTACCTACAAATGCCATAATTTCATTCTTCTTTATGGCTGAGTAATATTCCATTGTGTGTAAGTACCACATTTTTTGTATCCATTCTTCTGTTGAAGGGCATGTAGATTGATTCCATAGCTTAGCTATTATGAATTGGGCTGCTATAAACATTGATGTAGCCGCATCACTATAGTATGCTGATTTTAAGTCTTTTGGATATATGCCAAGGAGTGGGACAACTGGGTCAAATGGTGGTTCCATTTCAGGTTTTCTGAGGAATCTCAATCCTGCTTTCCAGGGTGGTTGCACCGATTTGCAGTCCCATCAGCAATGTATGAGTGGACCTTTTTCCCACATCCTTGCCAACATTGTTACTTAAATTCTTGATAATTGCCATTCTGACTGAAGTGAGATGAAATCTCAGTATAGTGTTATTTTGCATTTCTCTTCCAATTACAAGTTTTTAAGTTCCCATAAGAAATATATATACCTCAGGAAGGAAATAATCATGGACTATAAAATATTAAAACCTTTAGACCAACTCTTTAAAAAGAGTGCTCATTTTAATATTACTGACATGGATGCTATTCAGTAATCTCTGCAAGTGGAGTTAGGCCTTGACTCACCATATTGTAGTCTGCCATTTTTAATTATCAGTTACTACCATTGATTGAGTACCAGTTTCCAATACTAGGATCAGCATTTCTTTATAGCAACACTGCAAGATAGCTTTTTTCATTTTATCATTGTAGACAAGAAACAAACACCAAAAATATTAAGTAACTTGCCCAAAGACACTGCTACTTATGTTATAGAGCAGGAATTCCAATTAAGGATCAGTATGACCTCAGAAACTATGGTCTTTTCATTATTTCATGTTTCTTCCTGAAACAAATGAAATCACCCAGTCATCTCAGCTTCTAGATATAAACTTCATAACTAAAACTGGTTCAACCAAACCAATATGCATTAGAATGTGCCCAGGATTCCGGTCAGATCCAAAGGCCATGCCAGACCCTCCAAAGCTCTTGTGGAAAGTGAGTGAAGCAGGCTTTGTGAGCCCTTTCATTAAAGGCATGTAATTTATACTGTGATCCCAAAAATTTAAGAATATTTAGGGTAGCTTTCTAAGAATAAGCTTAGAATCTCTCTCCTCGATTAGAATGTATAACTGTTTCTGTCTTTCCTAACTTGACAAGTTTTAGAGAATCATAATGTAAAATTTATATTGTTATTTCCCAACTGAAAGAAACCTTTCTCTGTAAATTCTATCCCAATAGTATGGTTTTTAAAATCTGTAATTCCCTAGAACTCACTAGAATTAGACTCCATATAGTTGGCATTACCAACAGTTTTGAGAAATAAGGAAGGGAAAATACTAGAAAAAAAGTGAATGTAAAGAAATTTTTTCAGAAGTATTCATCTGTCATTAAAACATTTTTCTTTCCAGGGGATAGGTACTTTTGTAATCTTTTTATTCATTGTACCTCAGTTCTTGGTGTATTTATGGAAGATCAGCTTTAACTGTTTTCTGTTATTTAGACATTAAGACTAACTTGTCCATTATTAGGTTTTCCCCAAAGGGATGAGTTTTATTCATTCATAAAGGAAATTATATTATTAATCGATGTTTTTGAATTTCTAAATAAGTGTTGATTACTTGGAGCTTAAATAAAAACTGAATTTTTAAAATTACATAATACATATTAATAGGTGTGTGTATATATATATTATTTATCACCTTCCATTTGTATTTCTTAGCAAGAGCTACATTAGCTCTGTTATTTCCTGAGGTATTTAAAACTTCACTACCTTTTTGACTAATGTTGAAAAACTATTGCTGCCTGAAAAACAGATAAGTTTATTTTCTTTGTAATTTGAATTTGAGCCATATAGGTTTACTGAGTGCTTTTCCCACCTCTTTTTCTGGTTTCTATCATGTATATTTTTAGTTTGGGGGGTTTTGTTATTGTTGCTGTTGTTAAAGATGATGTATATACATAAACACAAGCATAGGCACACATACACATAATTTTTTTACTAAGCTAACAACTTTCACCCCTTCCTGTTCATAAATTCATTTTAAGAGAACTTAAAATTTAAGTTTAAAGTTTTTTTTTTTTTTGACATCTTAAACTTGCTTGCTTTATATGTTCCTTATTTTGAGATTTGTCTTTCAGCTTTTATAGAAATGTCTACTTTATTTATTTTACTATATAATTACCAAGAATTGTTTAAATTTTAAAATGATTGAGAATCTTCATAACATTATAAATTATATAAAATAAAAATCAGCCTTCTAGTAAGTACTGGATTTGCTTCATTTAGATAATCATGAAAATGAGAATAAGCCAATTAATGTTCTTCTATCAAAAGCAGGTCAGATTCTTCTTTTTCTCTCTCTTTTTTTTTTTTTGGTGGGGCAGTCCTTCAGATTCTTATAAAATTCTCCTAGAATAATTAAAACATACAATACCAGGAGAATTACAACAATTTTGTTATCATTCCCTCTTCAAATGGGTCTTTTACTTCTACTTGTTTTTTCATTATTAGAGGAAGAAGAGTATAATTACAACACTCTAGTGTTTTAATTAAATAGACATATTCCTAAGGCTTTATATAACTTATTCAAGAGAAATTTAAACACACACACCATAACTTGAAAATCTACACTGAAATTTTTGTGGTTTTTCAGAAGAACTGGATCCTGTAAATGAGGGAATGCCTTCCTAAAGTATATGAATAAAAAAGGATCTCTGCTGAAGACAAGTTTCTTAAACAAAGAAAGGCTTCTTTTTTTTTCAGTTACTTAGAAGTAAGCCTGACTTCACTGTCCCTAATAATATTGGCTTTATGACTATTAGGAAAATAATGAAATGAAAGGTCCTTTTTCTTTTACATTTGGTTGTGAATTTTCATAATTATTTTAAATTTGTTATGCTGAAGATTTAAAACATATGACCATTCAATGGGTTGATACAGATAGAATGTCACATTATCATCACATGGTAAGGCATGAAATTTATTTGCTTTAAATAATCAACCACTACTTAAAACAACTTGATAGAGATATTTCTTAAGTCAATAGATGGCATTCTGTAGTACTTAGTATTCTAGTTTTTTCTGAAGACAGTAGAAAATGCCATCATTGTTTGTCTGTGTCCAGTACTTCCAATAAACAAAATGTTTTTGAAAAGAATGTAAGCAAATTGTAGAGCAGTTGCCAAGATATGAAATCCAAACACTTAGCTTCAGTCCAAAACACATTTTATCTGTTTTGAGAATAATTGTGTAGGTTGTAGTATGCATATTTTAAATGAAACATAATCATTTGAACTTTGCATTGTTTAAAAAAGTTGACTGTTTCAGCTGTTTGTAATAGAAAATATTTCAGAATTTTTAACTCTGGTGTTTTTCTTTTTTTTTTAAACAGCATAAATCTAATGTTCCTGTCTTCTTTAGTTAATTTACTGTGTTCTTGCATTGTAAAATTCAATCTTGGTTATAGGATTTAAGTTTATCAGATTCTTAATCTACAGGATAAATTTTAAATTCCAGTTCTAAGACTATAAAATAGTTTGATATTGTCTTTTCATTCTTACCACCCACTGAAGTATTTTTTAAACATAAAAATATGTTGTCCTTTTCCCACTCAGTCTTGAAAAAGTATTCATCATATCAGCCAAATCATTTTACTCCCAGAAGACTTCTACCCTTTTGTTTTTTTCTATTATATCTTGACATTAAACAATATTTTTTTTCAAACAGATACTTCCATTTTTAAAGCACTGAGGTTTGAAGTTTAGACATGATGAGTTTTAGGAGAAACAACAAAAATTTCCCCTTAGGCTTTAAGATTCTGGATTTATCTGGAGATAAAAACAATGGAGGTATTAATTTTGGTAGCACAAATATACATTAATTTACACCATAGACCTTAGCTCTGTATAAGGATTCAGCTGTCATATATGCTGTATGTGGGTCATACATTTCCTATCAGTAATGTTAATGCTCTTGTTTTACACTATTCATCACTGTTTTGGGGGTACAGTACAGCTGCTGAAAATGCTTACTTGAGATTTGTCTAGGATTTCAGGAAAAGCAAACTGGTTTATTACTTCACAAAGTCTTTTTAATAATTTCTCCCATGACTTAATTTCTTATACTTTTACTAGAAGTATGATAATTTTTCTTTTGAATATAATCAGTAAAAAATGTTTAAACTATAGATTTGGACTCACTTAATAGCAATTATGTGTTTAAGAGGTGTAAATAACTTGCTAGCAGACACTACAAATATCCAGGTGCTGTGTATGTGCTGATGACAACAAAATTGAAAAGAAAGACTGTAATAATTCTGACTGGTTTTCTCTGCAGAAGATATTGATTATTTGTGTGTGGTGAGAGATTTGGAAAATTCAATTAAAGGAGTTGTGCAAAGGTTTCATAAATTTTCCTTCTACAGCGTGTACACAGACATTGTTGCGTATTAAATCAATGCAGCACTTCACAATATATTTTCTTTGAAACATAAAAATAAATAACATTTAAACAGTTCTGCTTACTACAGAAACAAATTTTATTTTCTGTGAAGCATTTAGTCATGTGCTATCACTGACTCATACACATTTGCCAGCTGTAACAAATTTTATAGACATTTTCCCTGGAGACAGATCTCACATACTATGAATTTTTAAATGAGCAAATGGTGAAGAAGGGATGTCAGCAATATAAAAATTGATCAGTTAAAAGATAAAAGCATAAGTAAAGAGATTTGTATGGTAGTCTTAATAGGTTTTATTAAATAAAAATACTATAAAAAGACAGTAATGAATAGACTGAAGACTAACTGTTCTTGAGGTGCAGAAAAATTATTCGGGCACATTTATAGAAATTGGTTTTCTGTCATCTGACAGGTGAACATTTTTTTCCAATCTTAACTCTAGTTTAAAAAGTACCCCCTTTAAGAGTTAGATAAATTATCTAAGTGGTTTATATATTTTAAATACATATATAATACTTATATAACTAATTATATAGCTAAAAGCAGGACTTGTATAATAAGTAAATATTAGGTGATTTTTTTCCCTGCAGCTCAGACCTCAGGAAGGAGGAGAATGGTCGTTTTTATTCATACTTCATACCATATGCTTCAGCCCGCTGCAGTCTCTTTCAGTATTCCAGGCCTCCCTGCTGCTTCTTCCTCTCCTTCATTGCTTTTTCTTCTTGTCTAGCAAACTCATGCTTATCCTTTAAGGTCAGCCTCAGATGTCCCATTCTCTGTGAAGCTCTCTCTCCCCAGCTCTCCTAGTTAAAGCCAAATTGCTTCATCTTCTAGGCTCCCACAATATTGTGTGAATATTTCTAAATGTATCTTGTTGGAATGCATTGTAATTCTCTAGTTAGAGGGCTCTCCCTGGGCTCCTCTTTAGCAAAGTCTTAATCTCTATTGTAGCCCCAGACCTCAGTATGGAATCTGGAGAGAAGATCAGATCGCAGTGCAATGAGTATGAATGGCCATTCTTAGAATTTTTTAAAGAATTATCTAATTATTTTCAAATACTTGAAAATTACTCTGTTTGCATGCCTCATTAATTTAATGCTGATTGAATACCTATTATGAACTAGGTATTGTTCTAGCTTTAGGGATACACTGACAAACAAGACAGACACTGTCCTGCCCTCAGGAGTATAGAATCCTCCACATACAACAAGTAATCATAATAAAGCATAAAGAGTATACTAACGGTGGTGGTAAGCATATATTATAATAAAGTTCTGGCTCTTATAATAAAATTTTAAATGTATATTCCAAAATAGAATCAGGCTAATCCGGTATTGACATGAAAATTTATAGCCCCACAGCTATTTATCATGTAAAATAAAACTTTAGGTTATTTTTAATTTTCATTTTGATTCAATATTTATTCTGCATAATATAGAGTTACAAGTTACTTTGAACTGTTTTCTGAAAAAAAATCTTTCTTCTTTCATATAGAATTATGTCATCTTGACAGCTACGAATTCCTTAAAGCCGTTTTAAAAAGAGGTACTACTTTACTTTTCTAATTCAGCTTAACTTTGTTGGATTTTTCCTGTGTTGTTCAAGTGGAAACATTTTATTTGCATTATCAGATATGATACTGTCTTTCTATACGAAAAGATACATAAGCTTTGGAGCTTTAGTTGAAATTTATTCTTGTAAACAACAGAAGAGCAGTCTGACAAGATCTGTGAGTTAAATGCTGATTGAAAAAGCACAACGTAAAAGAGGGCACATTTTTAACTATAAGAGGATCCTTAATTGAGCACCTTTGGTATAAATATCTAAATAGATAATGACAAATAGATTGTAGTTTTCATAGGACACATCTGACTGAAGAAGATATAACCAGCCTATTAAATTTGGAAATGTGCTAATAATTTCCAATTAAGTAAATAATTTTATACTAATTGTATCTTTTCTTCAAAACAATTCCTATTGATTAAGCAATACATATGATAGTTTATCATATCTTATTGTAATAAGCTAGACGCAATATAAGTCATGATGTGACATTACCATTTAGTGTACCTGTTAACTCAAGGTTCTCATTAGGAATTGGTATTATCCCACTGGCATCAATATTAAAAAGATTTTTAGAAGCTAACCAGATGTTGCCTGCTATTTCTTAGAATATAATTCTTTCTTATTTTTTTCCCTAAGAAAATTCATTTCTTTGGAAATATCTCAAGCGATTAATTTTAGCCTAACAAACAAGTTGTTTTTAAAATAATTGCAAGCCTTCTTACATAGAAAATTATGTCACTTTTATTTATCAAAATGTTGTTAATACAATAAATAATTGTTTATAATAATGGCTAACATTTATTGAGTATATTTTTTTGTGCCAAGCACTATTATAAGCACTGTATACATATCTTTTTAATCTTTACAATAACTTTCGAGGTAGATACAGTTATTATCTTTATTTATAGGTGAGGAAACTGAAGCACAAAGAAGTTAAGTATTTTCTCCCAGAAGCACCAAAGACAGAAAGCCAGGTCAGTAAACTGAGTTGTCTGGTTCCACTTAACCACTACTTAGTAATAATCTACAAATGTCAGGTTTCACTACTAGTCAAGGATTTTGTATCCTGTTAAGAAAGAATAATACACTCAAACACACATATAATTTATTCATCATAAGGTTAAATATTTTATAGAATTTCTGACCCATGAAAATTCCAACAGAGAACTATTATGTTAGATGGTGTTCATTAACACATATTCACAGCCATATATTTAGCAAATGAACATACTCATTTATATGATAGTCTCATTAATAAACTATGGGAAACTGGAGTACTGATAATAACTTTGTGTTCAGGGATGCTAATAGAGGTCATCATATTTTAGAGGTAGGTTTTTTATTTTTATTACTTTTTAAAAAATCTTTGATTTGAGTAAGCAGGGATTGAACTCAGGGGCACTCAACCACTGAGCCACATCCCCAGCCCTGTTTTGTATTTTACTTAGAGACAGGGTCTCATTGAGTTGCTAAACACCTCTTTGCTGAGGCTGGCTTTGAATTCGCAATCCTCCTGCCTAAGCCTCCCAAGCCACTGGGATTACAGATGTGCACCACTGTGCCCAGCTTGAGTAATACTTTAAAGAAATTAGAAAGAATTAAGGTTGAACTACCAGGCAACTCCCCTTTGAGAAGTCAAAGAGAAAAATGACAGTTAAATACAAAGATTTTATCTTCAAGGCATTTCCTTGGTTTCTTCTTTTGACTGTTTCCTTCTTACTTCGGGAACTTTGTTCATGATCTCAAGTCATTCATCTTAGTGAAAAAAAGATTTCCAAATCTATTTATGACCTCCCTTACTGAGCTATAACCCTATAATCTTAGCTACCGTACTGATTTCATCACTTACCCTTCAAAAATGTTCTTCCTTCTACCTTTCTAGCAGTTATGCATCATTCCATAGGCTTAAGAGCGTAAACTATGTTCAGAGGTTATATGATCTGGTAGCCGTTGGGAAGTCACAGACAGAGAATTTTAAGTCTAAACTCTTCTTTCTAAGAGGTCTGGCCAACAGCAAGTACAGATAAGGATTGTGAGTCCCATAAGGATGAAAGTATCAACCTAATTAGTGGAGGAATTGATAAACCTCAAAAATGCAAAGACCTCTGGCAGAAGCTTGGGGTAGCCGAAGTGGATTATGCCTTAAAGCAGAAATGGAATCTCCTCTCCCATACTGAATCTAAAAACCTTAAATTCTACTGTGTGCTCGAAGAAACTGAGAGGAAAGCTCAATCTTGAAATAGGCCACAAGTCCACATGCCTCTAAGGCCATGAAGAACATAGACCTGCCTTAAATGCATGATTGTTAGTAGGTGTGATAGAATGAGATGGCGTCCTTACCACATGATAATAGGAAGTACAAAAGCCCATTGGACTGGGAGAAGATGGTGATAACAACATGAAAAGGGCAGAGAAGCATGATGATGTAGATTCAGACCCATCATTGACAGTTACAGTCACCAAGCTAATATGTTTGGGTTTTATTTATTTGACAGAGGTGAGCCAGTAAAGATTATTATGAAAGTAATGATCAGAAACGTTTTAGAAAGAATAATGTTAACGTAGTTGCTCTGACATATGTCACATTGATCAAAGTATTTCATTTTGCTGGATCCTAGATTTAACCTTAAAATCTTAACAGTTCTTCCAGCAGCCATGATCCATTGATGAAACATCTTTGCAGGGTCTGGCTCTGTTTTTGTTGTTGTTTTTAAAGAAAACCAAGATTTGATTAGGTGTCCAACACCAATTCTACTACATACATAGCTCTGTGACCTTAATGATGCAGTTCGTTCCTCTAAGTGTTGATTATAAAATGGGACTAATATTTGCCTTGTGAAAAGTGTACAAAATAATTACTTAATACCTCCATCATAGTAACTAATAAATGATGGCCTCCCTTTGCCATACAGTATTATCATTAGCTCTAACAATTGTATCAGTATTCTATAAAGATATTAAGTGAACCCTGGAGTGCTTAAAATCTTCTACTGAAATGCACACCAGACTATGAAACAAAGATTTGGCAAAAATAAGTTGTCAAGTAGGCATCCCATAAGACAGGGAATAGAATATATGTGGACTTTAGCGAATAGGGAAATGTAAGGGCCCACTGTGTAGTACTTCTTCATAGATGCTAACGTAAGCAAAGAAAAAAAAAGAGCCACATGCCTAATGGGAGTATATGCCATCATTTGCCAATGGCTGCTTTCTTCTCCAAAGGCCAAATAAGACAAGAACCTCTACCACCACTAGGAGTCCCCAGAGGGACACACTCTGAATAGGAATGTATTACAGTAAACACTTTCCCCTGCTTTGGCAGCTGTTGGGGGAAACACCTGCCGATAGTCCCTTAAGGCTTATAGTCAAAGGCATGTAAATTTGGTGTTTTCAGTAGGTCATATGGAGTTTTAAAATTCTCCTGAAAGTATCTCATGTAAGTATCTTCACATAAACTGAAAAGGCCTATGTCAGAGTAGTCTCAAAATTATTTATGAAGATGAATCTTGCTTAGATGACTCAAAAATAAACATATGAGAAGTTACCAGTATCTAAACTGAGTATTGAATTACATGATATATGAGTGTTTAAATTATTTCTTAAGTGATGCACGAGATTATGTTCATTTAGAAACTCTTGATGATGTAATAACCACCTTTTATATCTTGCAGGCACTTAGAAGAAATGCTCTCACTATGAGTAAAACTACTGCATCTGCCTGATCATATTTAAAGGAACAGAAGAAATATTTGTAATTAATCTGCCCAGTAAATACCAGCTCATAGCACTAGGCAGGTGCAAGTCTAGATAAAATTTCTTGCAGCTAATTTAAACTTTCTACACACACCAATAGATAATCTTAATGTAAATATTACATTTCTTCTTGAACCTTTAATGTAAGCCAGCATGTAGAGGAGGATCTTGACTTACATTCTGTATCATGGATGTTTTTGTGTACTGTTAGCATTTGTGGATAGTTACTAAAGTATGTTTGCAAATGGTTCTACATCTGCTAGAGCTATATATTTTCTTGGAACTCAGATTAAATCTAATGGTGAGTTAAACTGGGGACCACTTTTCCCACTTAAAGCCTCAGGTACTTATTAATTTATAGGTTTTTAAAAATGTTTAAAAACTTATTTAGGGGCTGGAGATGTGGCTCAAGCGATAGCGCGCTCGCCTGGGTTCAATCCTCAGCACCACATACAAATAAAGAAATAAATAATAAAAAATTCTCTCTCTCTCTCTCTCATTTAGAAGCTTATTGTGTAACCACTACCTCAGGGATGAGTTTTTATTATTATAATACGCTTGTTTTTTCTATGCTTGTATTTTCAAAGTTTTAAATTCCATACATTTTGTAAAATATTATAATGTATTTTTTAGTACATACATTTAAATATGAAGTTGGTTTTTAGCTCAATTAAACAGCCTCCAATAAATTAAAAAGACCTTTATTATGAGACAGTATGTAATCCTTTCCAAATTATTTAAATTCTTTATTCTGTATTGTTTTTATTACCATTTATTTGTATTGTTGCTCACAAAATGAATCAGTATCTAAACCAGGTACTAAATTACATGGCAAGTGGATGTTAAAATCATTTAATTGATGCATGAGAAATACATTGATTTGGAAATTAATTCATAATGATGACCTAATCATCTTTTATATCCTACAAGCACTTAGAAAAATCACAAAATATGTCTTTGTGTGTGTATGCATGTGTGTGTTACTAGGGATGGCTCCCTGAGCCTGACATATGCTAGGCAAACACTCTACTACTGAGCTACACCCCCCATCCCTGAATATATCATAGCTTGATAACATACATTTTTTTTTTTAAAGTCTATACTTTTCTTGACCATTTCTAGAGGGGGCAAATGTTATTCTCAGAATTTGTGTATCATTTGATATCATGAAAATAAAAATACCATAGTATTTTTAAAACCATTTAACAAGGTGGAAAATAACCCATTTTCCGCTTAAATTCAGATTCATGTCTTTTTTTAAAACTATTAATATAAATATAGGTGATAAATAGTAATCCAATTAAACCTAATTGTCTTCATTAGTGATTATCTTGGTACTATTTAAATGTCTTAAGATAATTGTCTGCTAAATATTAAGAATACTTTAAAATAAACAAAACCTCAGGATATAAGTCAAGACATTTTGTAAAGTAACCTACATTAGTTAGGAAACAAAGGGTTAAGAAGTAGATTGGTTTCATATATAATCCAAGTTATGTAGGTATGTGCTTAATGCTCTTAAACCAGTTACTGTATGTTTGACCTCTTGATATACTAAGCTTTTGCCTTTCAGAACAGCTGGGCTGCTAAGAATCATTTCCCAGTTCTCTTCATTGTAGATCAGATGACTCTCGCTTTATCACCCTTAGAGGCTGCATGAAGGACAAAGCAGAAAAATCCACACACAAAACTAATGTTTATATGGGGGGAGGGGAAAGGGGGATATACTTGGCCCTGATCTTCCAATGAACATAACAGAAGAGAGACCAATTGAGACTTGAAACCATTGTGTTACTCTAACCATTATTTAGTTACAACCTATCCATCTCTTAGTCTTATCTATTGAACAGAGAGGCTACTTTTTGGCTGCCTTGACTTTTGTAAATGTTTCACTCACTTATTTGTGGTTTATCATTTGGACAGAATGCTACATCGGGATTTTTTTCCCCCCCTCCCTAAAGCCTCAAGGGAAAAATGACTTCTGTTTGCTTCATATGTGATACATAACACTTCTGCCTATTCCTCCCTATTCTCTTCCTTGCTTTAAGAAGCAAACCTAGGTCTATTGGCAATGGGGGAAACTGCACTTCTTAGAAATGCTTCTTCCCTCTAAAATGTACTTGGAAATAACATAGAAGTGCTCATTTTTTGATAGATACATAGTGAAAAAAGTGAGAAATTTTTCTAAAATTTTGACTCATCTAAATATATTAGAACATTTCCTATAATCCTTAATCTAGCTGAAATGCTTTGGAATAGCCCACTTCTGTGATTTTTATATTAACATTTAAAATTTTTTTTCTAGTTAGTTATACATGACAGAATGCATTTTGTTTCATTGACTTATGTGATCTTATTAATTCATCACTGGATACACTTGGTATTTTAGAACCTAATTTTTTTAAAGTCAAAATATTAGTTTTTAATATGAGAGATACTGGACTTATAATTGCGGTAAGTCTCCTTAGAAGCTATAATGTAATTCGATGATGATTTAGATTAAATCATCTGAAAAATGTATTATTTATAGAATTTACCTATAAGACACCCTGAATACAAGTGTTACAGGTATATTATTTATATAATACTTTTATTTCAAATAAGTTTCTATACTCCAGTTATTTAGAACTCAGAATTTTCTCATCACTAATATAAATCAACATCCTATGTTAAATGCAAACACACTATTATAAAATTTTTTTTTTAAAAAGGCAATACCAGCCAGCCAAGATGCTGACATTTGGGCACAGTGATTACAGATGGTGACCATGGACAGTGATGTTCCTGCTGAATCGGCAGCGACTCAAGGCTGCTTTTCTGTGCTGACCTGCCCTCTTGTGTCTTTATGCACATTTACTCTGAGAAAGAAATACTTCTCGATTTTTGCTTTGTCTAAACCCACTTTCTTTATCAGACTTAGCAATACATACCTTCTTGCGTCAGCCTATGACTAGCTTGTACCCAGAACCAAATTCTTTTTGGTATGACTGTTTACTTCTGAATATGCTTCAATGGCTACCTTATGAAAGAAATATACTCAGTTTTTTAAAAAAGGTTAATGGTAAACTTGCTTTATTTTTATCATAGAGACTAAAGAGAACATATTTATATGAGAAACTACAACATGGATATAATACTTTTACCAATTGAATACTATAGTAAATAGAGATTCTGATAATAGAGGGATAACATTAACAGGTCAAAATTAACAGGAAGTATGATTTGAATCAACGCTTATGCCAGTGGTAAGTAACCTGAACCAGGTCAGTTCATAACAAAAAAGGAATGAAACCCTATATAAAACAGTTTAAATAGAATGATGCTAGAAAAGATTAGAACTAGTGTTCATGAGTAGCTTAAGAAACTTCAGAATAATTGGGATTTAAATTCAGGAAAAATCATTTTTTAAATGGATTCAAGTAAATCTGCATTCTTGGAAATTAATAAGAACACCATTTAATCTATTTACCTTATTAAAAACAACTTCAAATTTGTAAATTTGACATCAAGACATCAAGCAGCTTAACTGGCCTCAGCAATTAAAAAGATGATCTTAAATTTAATTCCCTGAGATAACAATGAAATACATATTACTTGCATGCTAAAATGCAAAGAAAACTAAATCTGAATGCCAAAATTAGTGGTTTCCTTTAAAGACGGGGTTTGATTCTCCCATTAAGCTATTTGCAGATTTTTTTTCAAGACATCATTTATAGAGTACAATTTCTAACTAAATCTTGGGACTAAGGACTTTTTTAACTAATTAAATAACTGTGAATATTAATAAAAACTACAATATGCTTTGGCCCAACAATATTTAGAAAATAAAAGCCTCCGTTGGTCTTTGGTCCCAAAATACATTTATGTTGTGGAGAAACAATGACTTTTCACCATTTCTTTTTCTATTCCATGATTCTCAAAATAACAATTTCATTAATACATTACAAAAAGTTCACATTTGTTTGGGAATACAGCTAGTTGATTTTCTTCCGATTTCTTCCATTTTTGGAATCCCATATGATTATAATGTTGAAGTATACCAAGAAGAACAGGAAGTTCAAACAGGATACAAAACACACCAATACAGAGAATAAATCTGGTAATTTCTGAGGAGGATCCAGTGTGACAATCATCAGCGTCAGAAGGACCATAAAGATCACTGAGGTCAGAAACTATAAGGGAAAGAAAACAATACTGAGCAGTATAGAAGATAAACTGTACTGCTAACACTGATTTGAAGCTATTAAATCAGCAGAACTGAAGGTGAGGGTTGAGGGTCTAACTCTTCTAGTGGATCTCAACTTGGGCTTCATGTTAGATCATCTGACTTAAAAAAATCTTGATGCACAGGCCACATCCCAGACCAATTAAATCAGAAGTTAAGAGCAGGCCTTAGTACTTTGTTAAAGCTCTCTACGTTGTTGCCATGTATAGCCAAGCAAGAGAATCCCTGTCTTATACTTTATACCACCTAGGCACTGAAGAAAGGTATCTGGATCATAATGATTGCCAGTTAGGGTTAAATTCATGGTATCCCCCTACAGTCCTGGGTCCTAATGGGATATAAGGTTCTAAGCCAGTCAGGAGAACCCATCTATGACATTTTTCCCATGGTAAATGAAAAAATTCCATTTTATATTCACTGAATATTCTCAGTGAGTTAATACTGTAGTAAAGCACAGTGGGACATATGAAGAAAATGTGGTCCTCTAGCCTTGAAGAGTCTGCCTTTTAATTAGAGAAATATTAAATAAAATCACAAGCTCATGTTTGATTAAATACCAAAATGAATAAAATAATTATCACATTTATTTTAATTGTGTAGTAGTATTCTTCTCTAGACCATGCAACATGAAAATGTCCTACATCTACACTCCAACACAAGAGCTGCTAACCACATATGGCTGTTGAACATTTGAAATATGCCTACTGAGGAGTGAATTTTTAAATTTATTTAATTTTAATCAGTTTAAATGTAGTGGCTACTGTATTGGACAGTTTAGCTCTAGGCCATGAGCTCCTCTAAGACATGGACAAGCCAGATGTTACTTATTTTATCTCAAGATGCATAGATACTAAAAGCTGCATAAGTTAATGTAGAAAGCAAATGGAGAAATAGTAGTGCCTCCCCTAAAGGAGCTATGCCACAAAGAGAACCCTAAATGATGCCATTATGCATCGTAAGATCTGAATAGAATCTAATGCAGTGGTCATTTTAGATGAAAGTGGGGAAGGTGGGTGCTAAAAAAGGCTTACAGACAGGTATAACAAACAGGTGCACGTATCCTCCAAAGAGAAAATTCCTGAGATGACCTTAGTAGGGAATGAAAACTTATGACATTATCAAAATAAGTTTCAAATTTAAGAATTATGGGACTGCTTGAAATGCCATCTTGAATTAAGTGTCCAACTGGCATGCTGAAATTTCTTTCATTTTGTTTAAAATTTCTCTCATTTTAAACAAAAATCCTCTCTTCCTCCAGCTGTTACCAACTTGCCTGCTACTGTTGACAGCAAAGCTTCCCAAAAGAGTTCCTATGACATGCTGTGTCCAGTTCTCTTATTCACTAGTGAGCCTACACCAGTTAGGCTTTTATTTCAGACACTCCATGAAACAGCTCTCCTCAGGTATCTATTGTACTGGAAGAATAAATTCTTAACTGCCTTACTTGATTCTCTCAGTAGCATTTGATTATTTTTGTGGACTGTG